AAAAAGGACACTATTTAGGTCCTGTTGGACAACTGGAAACGTCCCCTGAACACCCATTTGACGCATGTCTTGATCATTTCTGATGTGGCTGATAAAAAAGGGAATCGTCCACACTTGGCTTCCACTTTATTCCCTCTGGGGCATGACGCCTGCAGATTTCTCTTGTCACGTCTCAACCACTTTTTACCACTTCTGGTTAAGGAGAAAGAAGACAAGAGTGTCCGCTCTCACCTGTGGAGTGACTGAGAGTCACCTTGGAGCTGATGACTCCATCTCTTTCCACCCACACAGAACACTCATATGAAGAGGCAGAACACAGTCCATCCACAGTGACTCTGGTGTCTGTTGTGTTCCAGGTCTCATTATGGCCACCATCTGCAGTGCACTGGGCCCAGTAGGTGAGGTCCCGGGAGGAGGAGGAGCAGGAGTTCTCAGGGACGTCCCAGGTCAGGCTGATGGAGCTGCTGTCCTGAGCTTCCACCCTCAGGTTTCTCACTGGGTTTGGAACTGAGAAATTAACAAAAAAGATACAGGTCAGCATCAGGACAGAGCAAAGGAGGCAGCCAGCCAGTGGGAACTCTGCTTTCTGCGTTTCTAGATGCTCACAATATTTTGTTGGGGAGATGAACTAGGTCTGGACTTCAGACATGGTTTCTGTCTCTGCCAGGGTCTCTACTTTTGTGGTAAAACACCATGATTCAGAGCAACTTGGGGTGGAAAGGTTTAGTTCATCTTGCAGGTTACAGTCCGTCATGAAGGGTAGTCAGGGCAGGAACTCCAGGAGGCAGTAACTGAAGCAGAGGCCATGGAGAAATGCTGCTGACTAACTTGCTCCCCATAAATGCTCAGCTGGCTTTCATATACAGCCAAGACCACCTGTGTAGGGAATGGTACCACCCACCGTGGGCAGAACACTCCCACATCAATCAGTCATCAAGAAGAAGCCTCACAGGGCAATGCAATGAAGGCATTTTCTCAATTAAACTTCCCTCTTCCCAGGTGACGTTCTCTTATGTCAAGTTGATAAAACTAGTCAGTACAGTCTCACATGGTCCCAGTTGCCTTCATACTCTCTATGTATCCAAGGATAACCTTCATCTTCAGATCCTCCTTTCTATCTATATCTCCTCAGTGCTAGCATCACACCTGGGTATCACTGTGCTGGCCTAGACCAGTAGTTCTTGAACTTCGAAAATATGTAACCAGAACTGCTTGAGCACCCGGATGCTCTTTCCGTAGTTAGAAATAAAGCATCCCCAGTGAACTGTAGGGAAATGCTGGTGCTACCCACATGTCAATCATACTGATATCAAGATCTAGACCAGCACTTTCCAAATGCTGTCTGTGATGAGGACCATGCCTTCCCAATCTCCTATGTGACAAGTACCATCAAATCAAACCATTCTGGACAACATATTGAGTTCCAAGCCAGTCTGGAAAATTAGGGACATGCTATCTCAAATGTGAACAAGGGCCAGGGGAAGTTGCTCATCTGATGAAGTACTTGCCATACAATCACGAGGAGCTGAGTTCAATCCCCAGAACCCTGTGAAAACATGACAGGATGACTCACACCTGTCACCCCAACACTGTGGAAGCCAATGTGGGAAGAGAAGATCTGGTCTAAGTGGTGAGTGCATGTCTGAATAAGAGACTCTGTCTCCAAATCAAGGTCGTTGACTCTGAGGAACCATTCTAAGGCTAATTCCTAGCTACTGAACAAGAACTCACACACAGGCGTGTGCACACACATGATCCACTGTCACACAGAAATTAATAACCCTACACACACAAAAAAATGGTAAAGTGCAGAAAAAGGAGACTATTTAGGTCCTGTTGGACAACTGGAAACGTCCCCTGAAGACCATTTGACCCATGTTTTGCTCATTTCTGATGTTGCTGATAAAAAGGGGAATCATCCACACTTGGCTTCCACTTTATTCCCTCTGGGGCATGACGCCTACAGATTTCTCTTGTCACATCTCAACCACTTTCTACCACTTCTGGTTAAGGAGAAAGAGGACAAGGGTGTCCGCTCTCACCTGTGGATTGATTGAGAGTCACCTTGGAGCTGCTGACTCCATCTCTTTCCACCCACACAGAACACTCATATGAAGAGGCAGGACGCAGTCCATCGATGGTGACTCGGGTGTCTG